TGATGACAGCAACTGTGGGGCTGCCCTTATACCAAGTAGACCAGTGGTTAGAGCATTCATCCGGGACATGGGAGACCCATGTTCACGTCCTAACTCTGCCTGATTCAGAGCAGCGACTTGAACCCAGATCTCCCGCTCCCAGGTGAGTGCCCCAACCACCAGGCTATGGGCTATTCTGGGGTGGATCTTGCTCTCTTTTCTACTGAAGCGGTTCCACTTTGTATGAAACACTGAAGTATTCACTGGAGCCAGGGCCGGCTCCAGCTTTTTTGCCGCCCCAAGCGGCAGGAAAAAAGAAAAAGAAAAAAAGCCGCGATCGGCGGCATTTTGGCGGCAGCTTTACCGCATCACTTCATTCTTCGGCGGCAATTCGGCGGCCAGTCCTTCCCTCCGAGAGGGACTGAGGAACCCGCCGTTGAATTGCTGCCGAAGACCCGGACGTGCCGCCCCTCTCCGTTGGCCGCCCCAAGCACCTGCTTCCTGCGCTGGTGCCTGGAGCCGGCCCTGACTGGAGCAGAGAGACCGCGAGAATCTATGGCCCAATAGTTAGGTCACTTACCTGAGAGACCCACATTACAGTCCCTGTTCCACTGAATATTTAAGTATTTTATGCAGAGTGGAACATCTCTGAGTGCACTTACATGACATAGGGTTTTGCCTCAAATATAGAATTATTTTTTAAATGGAGTCCCTTTATTTGAATTGGAAGTCTGGCAAATTTCTAATGGTCAGCCTTTTAAAAATGTTATTAAAGCTAATGTTAAAAAAATTATATAATACATAGGTTGAGAAAAGAGTATCTGTACATCTGGGTATAGTGCTTAGATTATCCACAAATACAAAGTTTGTTTTTAAAGTCATATGATACATAGAGTACATAATCAGCAATAACCCAAATTTAGGTGAATAGATTTAACAATACAGTTTAAATATTAGAATCTGAATAATCGGGTACATCACTCATGATAAGTTGTACAGAGATTTGGTTGTGGAAAGCAAAATATAACGAGTGGAGATTGTCCCTCAGTAATTGAGAATTAGGTAGGTTGTCCATTTAGAAAATACAATCCACGAGGAAAATATTTCATTTACTATTGTTCTGATGTCAGGAAGAAGTAGCTTCCCTTGGTGGAGAATCCCAGAAGAGCTTTTTTTCAGGAGAGTTTCTCTGAAGAATTGGCCATAGAAACACTGTATTTGAGGACTGGGAACAGATAAGGGTTGGTTCAATAATTTCTGATCTCAGCTGAATGTGATTTACTGTATTATACAGACTGTTAGCGGCAGTTCTCCTGAGCAATCTGGTTAGTGTGTCACTCTCCCATGAAGCATCCAGTCAGGTAAAAATGGACTTGCACTGAGCCAATTGTTTGGTTATGGCCCAGTTTCAGCAAAATCCCTTTCAGAGTTCTGAGGATGCTACTCTGTTACTGCTCTTTTAAATGAACCAAAAGATGCTGTCAGTTTCCCAGCTGTCTAGAGCTGGATTGGCCACACTTATTTTTCTTCCTAATATTTTCCCCTCTAAGAAAGCAGCTTTAGCTGTGGGAAAACATTCCCTTCCCACGTTGTTACTCTTATAATTGGTGTGTTGGTCAGTTACATCTGTGTGTTGAGAGCTCAGTTAAAACAAAAAACTGCAGACCAGCTCAGTGATTTCTGTTTTCTTTAGCAATAAGCAAAGCTTAGAGCATTATGCTTGGATTCTTCTTTTTTCCCCCCACTACTAATCAGTCATGTTGTTCTCCAGAAATCTTCGCTATGTCAAATTGCCAAGTCAGCTCTAATTAGCTTCAGTCAGACTCATGTATGTAGTTTTAGCCATTTCTGGCAGATTATCTTTTTTATGCACACGCAAAACATCAGAAAAATGGAATGGTTTCTGTCAACCTTTCACATTCCTTGCCAATACATCCTTTGGATAAAAGAAATTCACAGTGGAAAGATTTGTTCATTCCAACTGTTGTCTGGACAAAAGATTTTTAGTTCATTTACCATTGATCATGCTGCATGGCTTATTTTTTCAGATTTTTACAAATCTCTAGAGTTTCTATATACTTCTTAAATTAAGATTGGGACTTAGAATCTTTATCTACAGAAAAAATACTCCATAGTTTGTTCAAAAGTTAATTCTTCAGACTTTCAGTATAACATTGTTGAAACTTGTTTATCTGAAGCCTGAATGAATTGCAAGTACAATGACAGGAAATGAAGACAATTACAGAATATGTTGTCTTCGTCTCTGGTTTGCCCTTTTTGAAGCATTGTATTTGTGTAGTCATTTCTTTAGAGAGACTTCAGTTGTCATAGATGAAAACTGATAATATATGAAGGAAAACATATGTATACTGCTTTCTGAGACAGTAGTGAGATATCAGACCATTATCTGTATGTGCTGGTTTTCTATAAATATCAAAATTCAGTAATTCTCTCTCCAGTTCAGTAAAATTAAAATGTAGGGAGAATATCCTGTCCCCGTATACTCTACAACAGTGTTTCCCAACCCATTGGGTTGTACCCAAAATTGGGGTGCCAGATTGTTTCAAAGGGTCATGTGGTGGCTCCTGTCCCATGGGTTTGCTTGGCTCACCTCCCTGTTCCAGGCACTGCAGCCTCTGGGGTCCCAGCGCCACTCACGATTGGCCCAGCCGACAGGATGACAGGAGTCTGGGTAGGTCAAATTTGAGTGAATGGCATTGCAATCCCATGAGCCAGGTCACCACTCCACTCAGACAAATTTGTTCAGGTCAGGGTGTGGGGGCCAAGCCTGAGCGGTGCTGCAACCCCAGAGGTTGCAACACCCAGCGTGGAGAGTAGGGTTACCACCTTTGATATGCAAAAAAATTGCACCTCCTCCCTTCAAGGCAAGCCCGCCACACCCCCAACCACAAGACACTTATAATATCTAGAGAGAGAACACACATAGATAAGACTGATAACCTCATTTTCTTACTTAAACTTTGAAGTGGGAACACTGCAGCATCTTTAGCTGGACACAGAAACTTTTAACATTAGATATCCCAGTGTATTGTGATAATAATGCAAATCTTTAGACCCACATAAAAAAAATACCCGGCAGTTTAAATTATTTTTCTGGCAACTGGTAAATCCATTAAAAAAAAAAAAAACAGCCAGGCCGGTCAAATACCAGCCAGGTGATAACCCTAGTGGAGAGCCAAGCTCAGCCATCCTCACAAGAGCTGCGGGAACTGACACTGTGGGGTCAGTGCCGGGCGGGACCCAACCCCCTCAGAGGCAGGACCCGACTAAAACCATCCCAGGGCCTCCAGCCCCAGACTATTTACTGGGTCATGATAGGTCATAAACATTTACAAATGGGTTCTGAGCCCAAAAAGGTTGAGAAACACTGTTCTACAAGGCCTAAAAATTAGTTAAATCATCTCAGTTGTGCTGTGTAGGGGATGGGAGGTCATTATGCTAAACTCCCTACTGCCTATGTATGTAGGGTTGCCAACTTTCTAATCACACAAAACCGAACACCCCGGCCCCGCCCCTTCTCCAAGGTCGTGCCCCGCTCATTCCATCCCCTCCCTCTGCCGCTTGCTCTTCCCCATCCTCACTCACTTTCACCTGGCTGGGGCAGGGGGTTGGGATGCGGGAAGGGGTATGGGCTCTGGGCTGGGGATATAGGCTCTGGGGTGGGGCTGGGGATGAGGGGTTTGGGGTGCAGGAGGGAACTCTGGGCTGGGGCTGAGGGGTTTGGCATGTGGGAGGGGGGCGTGGGCTCCAGCAGGGGGTGTGAGCTCTGGGGTGGGACCAGGGATCAAAGGTTTGGGGTGTGGGAGAGGACTCCGGGCTGGGACAAGGGGTTGAGGTATGGGAGGGTGAGAGTCCGGCTGGGGGTGGGGCTGGGGATGAGGGGTTTGGGGTGCAGGAGGGGGCTCTGGGCTGGGCCAAGGGGTTGGTGTGTGGGGTGGTGAGGGCTCCAGCAGGGGATGAGGGCTCTGGGGTTGGGCCAGGAGGGGACTCTAGGCTGGGGCAGGAGGTTGGGGTGCAGGGGGGCAAGGGCTCTGGCTGAGGGTGCAGGCTCTGGGGTTCGGCTGGGGATGAGGGGTTTGGGGTGCAGGAGGGGACTCTGGGCTGGGGCAGGGGATTGGAGTGCAGTGGAGGGAGGTGCGGGATCCCGGTGGCACTTACCGCAGCTCTGAGGAAGCGGCTGCCAGGTCCCGGTGGCCTCTAGGCTCTGAGTGCTTCCTTTGCGCCGGCAGGCGATGCCCCCCGCGGCTCCCATTGGTTGCAGTTCCTGGCCAATGGGAGCTGCGGAACTGGCACTGAGGCGGGGGCAGCGCTCAGTCCCTGGCCGCTCCAGCGCCTAGAGGCTGCAGAGACCTGGCGTCCGCTTACTGGAGCCACGCAAGCTAGGGCAGGTAGGGAGCCTGCTTTAGCCCCGGCCCCCCGCTGCACTGCCAACCGGACATTTAACGGCTCGGTCGGCAGTGCCAACCGGAGCTGTCAGGGTCCATTTTCAACCAGGCATTCCAGTCGAAAACCGGACACCTTATATGTATAGTGCCTTTCTCTGAGTGAAATCTACCCCACAGAGAGGTTCAGTGCAGGCCTCATTCGAAGGCTTAAGTGGTGCTTAGGCCTTGTGCTGGCTGTCTGCACAGGGATGAACTTCCCCCTCTATAGCAAGCTAGAGATGCTATGATTGGGCCAGTGGTGCAGAATGGTAAAACTTCCACCCCGGGAGGATGGAGTAGGCCATGGCAGCTTCCACAAACCCAGAAACAACAAGATGGCTGCTCAGTGCTCAGGTGAGAGAGGAAGGTTTCCTGCATAAAGCCTGTGTACTATAACATTGCTTGTAGGACAGGAGTCTGGTCCTAGCTAGATGAGGGAAAGCTATATCACAAAAAATACCAATTCATTATCCCAGTGGCTGAATCCAGCCCAGAGTTTAATATTTTGAAAATTACTTCAAAAATCCTAGAGTAAACATCAGTCCGACTTAATCCTTTTATTCTCTCTTTTTTCAGAGTCATCGGATGGATGTCTAAAAGCTTCTACACGTCGGGGGGAAATAGATGTTTATGTTAATCAAGTGAGAAAAGTGGATCTGAAAAGCCAGAAAGGTGAGCAAATTGCAACATTTTATGGCAACCTTTGATATAAAGGAAAGTTTTATGAGATGGTAAAACTAACCACTTTCTATATTTAAATAATTACAGTAAAATAGTAATTCTTACCTAATTCATCATTAGCAAATGTATATTGTCTCTTAGCACAGTAAGCACTGCAGGAAACAATGGTATTTAAAATAGACCCCACAAAATCATCTGGGGCTTTCATTTCAGTGGGAATCTTACACTTTCCACCTTTCTTCCAGCAATCTTCCCCACCAAACCAGTAGAATCCTGCAGAACTAGGATTGTAATCCCCCTTTGCCTCATCAATGCCGTTTACTCCATGCTGTTGGCAGGTGTGTGGAACTGATGAGGCTCATATTTCATTTCTCCATGCCCTTTTCCCATGAAAAGAATTACTGTGTGTGGAGACCATGAAATTAAAATGGCAAAGCAGCAATGCAAGGGAAGGCAGAGCCAGAGGGATGACACATGCCCGAGCACCTGGACATGTTGTTAAATGAGCTAATTACTCCCCTAATACTTACTTACCTATCACAACTTCACTTGTTAAAACATCACCCTTCAAAAGCTGGATTTACCCCTTTGCCATTTGAAAGAGCACAGACCTGAAGGTCCTGTTATAGTAAAAACACTCATGCCTTGCAGGTGTTTTGTGTTACAATGTTGAGTAATGCATTTGCAAAAGCCATTATCCAGTACTCTTCATTCTCATTTCTGTTATGCCTTTGCACTCTCCCAGTGTTTCTGTGTGGTCATTTGTCCCCTGTTATCCCTGAAATGGGGAATAGGTCCTGTAGGAATGCAGTGTTCAGCAAGAGAGGAAAGAAAGATACTGAATTAATTCCCGTGTGCTATCTTTTGTTGTCCTGCACTAGCCACTCCATCTCCTGTGATGGGACGAACTATATTCACATTACTACCTAACCAGGTGTGGAATTACTTCCAGTAACTCACATTAATGTTTAACCATCGAGAGAGGGAAATGTGTTTCATAAGTGTTATAACGAAAACAATTATTAAACTGATTTTCAAAACATACTCTGACATCTGTTCCAGTGAAGACAAAGACAGATTCTGTAGGCCCAATTCTGCTCTCAATTACACCAATGTAAATCCAGAATAACTGTTGACATCAGTGGAGCAGAACCTGGCCTGTAATGTCAAAATAATTGAGTGTTTGTCAGGTTTTATGGGCTAGCCCAGGGATTGGCAACCTTTGGCACGTGGCCCATGAGGGAAATCCACTGGTGGGTCGGGCCAGTTTGTTTACCTGCAGCATCTGAGGTTTGGCCGATCGCAGCTCCCACTGGTCGCGGTTCGCCGTTCCAGGTCAATGGGGGCTGCGGGAAGCAGTGCGGGCCGAGGGATGTGCTGGCTGCCGCTTCCCGCAGCCCCCATTGGCCTGGAACGGCGAACCGCAGCCAGTGGGAGCTGCGATTGGCCGAACCTGCGGACACTGCAGGTAAACAAACCATACCGACCTGCCAGCGGATTTCCCTGATGGGGCCGCATGTCAAAGGTTGCCGATCCCTGGGCTAGACCATTGAATTTGACCAAGCAGAACATGAGGATAGAGAAAGTGTCTGAGCCATCTTTCCATTCCCCTGATCTGGCTGGTTCTTCTGTGCCCATCATAATTTATGGCAGCCTGAATTATGCTGATAGTTGTGGTCCTCTAGGGAGGGTCAGGAACCAATGACATAGAGCTGAGGATATACCACCCTGGGATTCCCACACACAAGGGGAATCCCCAGCTGCCTTATCAGGGTAGCTTTCTGACTGTCTTGTGCTGTGTGGAGCAGGGATAGGATCAGGCCCTATATGTCTATTGTTTGCATTTTCTTGTACAGGTAGCATCATGGATATTACTTTGGAGGATTGATATATAAATAGTGTATCAAAGCACTAGTTATGTTCCGAGTTGGGCCTACAGTATATATGTAGCTATATAAAAATGAAAATTTTTGCAAAGCGAAAGCAGGAATCAGGCTGAAAAGAAAAAACCTTTATTCAGAAAATGTGTTTGAGTTGTTTTGTGTTTTGCCTTCATGCACAGAGCACAGCTACTGAAGATCCTTGATCTAACTATTCCAAATATGTCTCAGACTGGTAACTGGATGGCTCAGCTATTAGCTTCAACCCAACAGGAGGCCCAAATTTAGGAAAGTACTTCAGGATTGCTGTTCCAATAGAGGCCAGACTTCCAATTTTTAATCTTAAGGTTGTGGTAGAGCAGATTACCGAAGCTGTTGTAATTTTGCTAACAGATCATCTGTAAAATGTAATTGACAATAGCTGTGGAGTAGACAGCAATTTATTCCCCAAGCTAGAATCAACTGTGAGGCTGCATCTTCTCAATGGATGTGAAGTGCTAGCTCTATGCTATAAGGGGAAGATATCTTAGAAAATAGCTGTTTGTACTGATGGTGTATACTGCTGCACAATCTTCTGTTTGCAGTAAATGAGCATACGTCTGTCCAACAGGAGTACTTTTTATCCTCCTGGAGGCAAGAAAAGAAACCAGCATCTCTGAAGATTCTTGAGCAAAACTAGGACTCTCTGTCTCCCATGTAAGCTCAGAAAAGAGCAGAATAGCAGAGGCCCTCTCTCTGTTTGCTTTGTCTTGGCTATTAACATTCATGTCTTTCATTTTAATTTATAACAGGCTCTATTACAGTCAAGGTACCTGCCTCTCTTAAAGCCTATTTACAGTTATCTGGAAGCAAGGTTGATGTGAGCCCAGAGATCCAGTTACAGGAAACCCAGTGTGCCCCTAAAGAGGGTCACATAACTATTACTGGTAAGACTTGCTTTTAATAAATCTATCTGGCCTAAATAAAACATAGATATGTTTGATTACGGTTTTATTGCTCTTGGCTTCTTCCTGTTTCGTCTGTTTCAACTTCAGATGTTTGCTTGTGCCAATGGCGTCCACATCTGTTATTAGATGCCTTTTTTATTTCATGCCTTCGTAAATGACATGTGAATACTGATCAACTGTTTCGCTAATTAGAGTTGTAGGGCCAAATTCATCCCCAACGTAACGTCATTGACTTCTGTGGAGCTATGCTGGGCAAGAATTTGGCCCACTGATTTTTAGAGAGAGAGTGTATGTTGTTGGTTTAGACAGCTGAGTATAATTAAATAGGTGACCAGCAAATGTGTATTAAAATATAACACAGTAATCTTTACAAATGTGTTCTGAGTGCCTCTGATAACCAGGGTATAAGGGGCATGCAGCGTATTTTAGAAAAATACATCTATATATTTTATACATGATGCTCCCTCTGTTGGGGCCCAGCCAGTAACAAAGAGAAGGATGGAGCAGGCACACTGGAATTCAGAGGGGTGAAAAATGGGGGAAGGGGGATGAAAGGATGTTGCAGGAGCCAAAGGGGAACAGGAACCAGGGTGGGCAGGAGCTGGGGGATAGTGGATAAGAACAGAAAGGGACAGTGTCAGGAGCCAGAGAGCAGGGCTGCATGTAGGAGGGTGGACAGGACTATGTGGGGAGGGGCTGGAGCTGGGATGAGGGAGTTGATAGGAGCAGAGGGGACAAAGACAGGCTAGGGGCACAAAGAAGCATCTGTAACCACTAGAGCACATTCCTGTGCAGAACCTAGAACTGAACCTAGGAGTCCTGAGTCTCTACGTTCCTCTGCTATCTGTGAGCTATCTATAGCTGTGAAATCCACTGGCAAAACATGTGTCTCATCCCCCCTCTAGTGACTGGTCCACATAATGGATAGCAGTCTACCACTGCTACCAGTCACTCCATTTAGCTTAGGTCTGTGTGATGGAACTGAAGGTTCCCCACCCTGCTGATGACCCACGATGGAGTTTGTTTTTTTCATTTTGCTTTTTTAAAACCATAAGAAAACAAACACACACAAATCTATATTAAAAGAATGTTAAGGTTGCAAAGTCCAGCACTCAAAATGCAAGGAATTAAGGGTGCCTGTGTAATCTTAATTTGGCCACCTTGTGCATATGCATTATGATGCCATCTTTAATTACATGATCACCACCTACTATTTTTCCCTCCCTCATTCAGTGCACAGTGTGTAATATATAGAGGATATGACATTAGAATTTTAAAAAAGCAGTGTTAAAGGTCCTCAGAGTGACATAATCCCTGCAGGCAGACTCACTTCTCCATCGTGGATTAAATTAAACAACGTGTCACAATGAGTGGGGAGCTGGTGATTGGCCAGTGGTTTGGATCTCATGGACTTAAAAAAAAAAAAACCACCCGTACCCTTGCACTATAAAATGAACATGTGAGCTGAGTGGCCCCTCTTCTAACTTAGGAGTTGATCCTTCTGATACCCGGATCAGGCCCATGGGTGGTTTTTTGTTTGTTTTAGGGGGAGGTGGTCAGCATCTACTTCTAACATTCTGTGATTTTTGTGGGGGAGGGATGGGGGCGAATCATCTTTGAAACAGAAATGACCCACAAACCTACCATTCTGCATACAAACAGTTCAGCAGTTTAGACTGAAAGTGTCTCCTGATTAGTCAGTCCTCAAATGTAAACATCCAAAGGCCACTGGAGTTACTGAGAGTTACATGCTGAAGGCAGCATTTGGCCACTAGTTTTCACTTCCCTTAAAGAGCCCATGGCATTCCAATAAGGCACCCAATGACTATGGATATGAAATTCAGTAAGAGATTTTGGGATGATCTGTCCTTGCATCATATGTTGCTTTATTTCTATCCGTGTCACATTTAAATCATTTTAATATTTATTGACTTCAATAATCCTAATGCAGATAGTTTAGAGGAAATAACAGTTCATGTTTACTGGTAGGGTGACCATCTCTACCTTATTTTAATGGGACATTGTAACTGTATTTAGTGCCTAATGTCCCATATTCTAGGAACAAATCAATATACTTTGTCCTGTATTTCAGCAGTATTTGGATAAAGGATTGTACCCTGTGATTCTGTACAAATGTACAGAATGCGTCTGATGAAGTGGGTATTCACCCATGAAAGCTTATGCTCCAATACGTCTGTTAGTCTATAAGGTGCCACAGGACTCTTTGTCGCTTTTTACAAATCCAGACTAACACGGCTACCCCTCTGATACTGTACAAATGTATGATTCATACAGTGTATGACTTCATAGTCTGAATATAACATTTTGGGGAGCTGTGCTTTAACAATAAACCTTGTCCAATTCTGTATTTTTTATACAGTTTTCCTTTGTTTCCTTTAAATGTAGGCTGGCTTCTTTTCACATCCTGCCTTCAACTAATTTAACAATGTCTTATATTAAATGTCAAGATTCCCTTTGTAACAGAAAGTATTATTTTTCCAGTAAGATCATCTTCTGATACAAGTAAACTCTGAAATAATTACAAATAATTTAATAAAAAAACAGATAGGATACATGGTGAAAAATGTTCCTCCCCTTGGGAACCTTAGGGACAGCATGGCAGCAATTTCATTTGAGTTTTAGCTGCAGAACATATAAAACAGATGAAAAAAACCCGTGTTTGCCAAACCATAAAAACCCCACATCACAAGGGGATATCAATTTAGACTTTTAAGTCTCTAAGCTAAGAGGTTAGTACAAAAATAGTTAACCCTTCAGAAGCTGGCTGGTTTCCAGGTGGTTAATGCTGGGAACTGGCTGTTTTGAATGGATTTTACATCTCTCTTGGGAATTCTAGTGTGAGAGGTTAATGAGGAGTTCTTCCAGGGGAGAGTTGGTGTATGTGATGTTCTGTACCTCAGGGGAACACCCAGCACCCCCATGTTCATCCTTATAATATGATTGTGGGGTATATTGGATATACAAGTTTGTCATGTCTGGTGTCTTTGGAAGGCTCATGATGCACTGAGCATTGTTGTTATAGTAATGATATAGGTTGTAATTTCATGTATATAGTTATGAGGCTGAAAATGTGTCCTCATGGCTAAAAGCAAGCCCAGGCAAAAACTCTCTAAGAGCAGAGGGGCAGTTCACACCTAATCAGGGCATGTATGGGACAAACCCAGCCCAGCCTCACAGGAACAAAGGACACTGGCCTAGGCAACAACAAAGGATGTGTTGAACTCTCGAGTAAGTCACCCCCCTTCCTTTGGTCAATTTGGGACTGCGATGAGGTAATGCTCACCTGACTCTGAAAGGGGGGGGGGCAAAGCCAAGAGGGAAGAAAGAACATGATAAAAGGGAGAGATGTTTGCCATGCTCTTCCTCTCTCTTCCAACTCCATCTACAGACATTACCACCAAGCGACTGAAGTGCTGATCAAAGGGGAGAGCCTGGCTGAAGGGCAACCAGCCAGCCTGTGGTGAGAAGCATCTAAGTTTGTAAGGGCACTGAAAGTGTTAAGATCAGTTTAGAATGCATTTTGGTTTTATTTTATTTTAACAAATCCGACTTGTTGTGCGTTGACTTATAATCACTTAAAATCTATCTTTGTACTTAATAACTCTGTTTATTCTACTGAAGCAGTGCGTTTGGTTTGAAGCATGACAGAGACCCCCCCCCTTGGGATAACAAGCCTGGTACATATCAATTTCTTTGTTAAATTGACAAACGCATATAAGTTTGCGGCGTCCAGCTGGCATAATTGGACACTGCAAGACGGAGGTTCCTAGGGTTGAGTCTGGGACCGGAGATATTGGCTAGTGTCGTTCAGTTGCACAATCCAAGCAGCAGCTGGTCAAAAGGGCCCACTCACGTAGCTGGGAGCAGCTTACGTGCCAGAGGCTGTGCATGAACATCCCAGGAGTGGGGGTTCTCACAGCAGAGCAGGGTAAAGCTGGCTCCCAGAGCCGAGGATTGGAGTGGCCTGGCAGATCACCGGTCCAGATAACACCAGGGGAACGTCACAGGGTAGAATTCTTGCATCAAGTGAGTTCTGATCCAGTCCACCTCCAGCTATAGGAAACCCTCACTGAACCCTGGAGTTTGGTGTAATACTCATGCGACTAGTCCTCTCTCTGCTACTAGGTACAATATTGGTCAAGGCAGTAGCAGGATTGCGAGTTCATTGGTGGTGCACATCCAGGGGAGCTGGGAGGCTACCAAAGAATGGAGCTGAATTTGACCATAGCATGAAGACAAGAGGGAAACAGCCTAGGGTGAGTAGTAGGTGGAGCATGCTGGGAGGAGAGGTGATGGGAAAGTTAGAGAAGTGGGAAGGCATTTATTCTCTCGGGAGACGGCGGATCAGTTCAGAGGAGTTGGGGCATTTGCTGTAGGAGGGAGGGAAATAGGAAACATGGAAGGAGTAATTAACAAGGATGAGCCCTCAGTTCTCTAAGGAGTCAGTGGGTACTCTAAGGAAATCTAAAAATAGGTTTTAAGAGTTGGTTTGCAAACTCTATGGCCCAATTTCCTTCTTAGCATTGTCAGGCTGCATAGGTGGAAAGTGATAGTATAACTCCTTTCCTGGTGCTGATACTAGGCAGACACTCCTATCTTTTTCTTTGGCAATAAGGAAGAAGTGCCTGTGGCCTAACCCCTGGTCCATGCCCACTCACTCAAGATCAGAAGGTATCTGCAAACTATGAACTCTATGTGTGGAACTTCATGGGCAATGGGAAGGGTACAGGACATACAGCAAGGACCATGTAATTAAAGTGAAGGATGCTTGGCAGAATTCTGGGGAGAGCCTGACTGGCCAAGAGCTTACCTGGCAACCTGCACCTACCTGCTATAAGGTGACTGAAAGGAAGATCATGAAGGTACAGGCAGGAATCATTCTTGCGCAAGACAGCCAATGGACAGGTTCCCCCACACTTGCATTCCCTGCTCATGTGCCAAAGAACACAGACTCACTG